GTCTGCAACAGAAATTTCACGTGGAAGAACACCATGACTTTCTGCCTTTTTGTGATGTTTTTCTCCCATTCCTTGCAGTTCAATTAATCATAACTATGGTATGTAAAAGAGCTATGAGCTCTTGGTGTATTTGTTTGAAACAAATGGGAGGGATAACAGGACATCTTTCAAAACAATTGGAAACAGATGAATTGTGTGGTATTTTCAATTACAGGGAGCAAATACACCAACAAAGCCTAAGGTAAAAGGAAATGGAGGAAATGCTGTCCAGATGTGTAGTTTTGCTATACATTTTTGTGAAAGTTCAGTATGTAGCTAAGTTTCTCTTAGGGGCTTTGGGTATATTTGGTCCTTGTTGGGGTCTTTTCATAATTTGAAGGAGTTTGACCTTAAATCTACAGTTGTAATGATTACGAAGTATAAAAATCTGGGTGATTTTTTTTTTCGTTGGGGAGAAGTTGTTTGTTTTTTTTTTTTTTTTAAGTTGGAGAGTTTCCTACTTGTCCATCTTCAAATCCCTCAGAAAGACCTACCAGCAGTACAGGAAAAAGTTTGTGTAATGCAGACAAGTGAACAATTAGCTGTGAGTTCATCAGCTCAGGGGCAATCTCCCAGCTCACAAAGGGATGGTGCAAAGAGCAGCTGAAACTGAGGTGCTGCTGCCTGCATGACCCTAGAAGATCACTTTGCAAGATAAGCCTGTGAAAGGAGACTTGAAACAGGTTAAGCTCATGTCAGAGCTCTGGTCAAAAAACTTGGTGTTTTTTACAATTTTTTTCTCAAAAGTTAAGGTACCACTGAGGCACAGACACTAGAGACCCCAAGTGAGACCATCCCTGCTGCAGAGTATTTACTTTCTATGAGCAGTGGGAGAAAAAAAAAACCCCACCCTCCAACTACAGACTGGCAATTAATGGTTTGATGAAGCACTGGGATAATGGTGTGCCCAGAACAGCTGTGTACTGTGCTGTGCCTTTAAGTCATTCAATATGATAAGATTTATTTAAATAAGTGAGCTAATTTTTCTTCTCTCTCAGCATTCTGGCATCAAAATACTGCTGGAGAAAGAGGAATTGATATTCACTTGGCAGTAAAAAGATAATATTGAATGTGATATTTAATTTTTTTTTATTTCTGCAAACATTGGGGTGCACAAATTTCTCCACTTTGTATTTTTTGAGAAACAGATCCTCAACTAGAATGCACAAATGTAATACAGTAATTCTTATACTTACACTTAGTCTACCACCAGCAGGCATAAACTCATCTATATTTAACTGATAATGTAATAATCCTATTATAATTAATCACATTTTCTACAGGAGAGTTGAAGGACATGCAAAGGGTGAGGTGCTTTAGATTTCACAAATGGATGTCACTCAACTTAAACACTTCTAAATAAGACTGAGGAAATGGGGATAGTTGAAAGAAGAATGTGCTGACAGCAAATATTTTTCCTTGTGTATGTAATGGGGAAAGGGTTAAATAAAAGTCAGTAGTGGTGGGATACATGGAAATCTTATAGAAAGGACCATGAAGATGGAGTCTCTGTTAGGGACTGAAAAGGGTTTAATGAGAAGGTACAGGTTAAGCCAATGATAGAGAATGTGCAGAATTGGCTGCAAAGGGGTCTTGGAATAAAATCATTGATAATTATTAAGGGGTTTTGAGTCTAGAGTTTGATCTGGGAGAAACAGTTGTGGTACACAAGTGTTCCATCACACCAGTAGGAGGGAAGAGATGAAAGTACCAGCGTATGCTCCCAGGATGATTGCAGTTCTCTGCTGGTTGAAACTTTGCTCACAAAGGTAAGAGCTTGACCTCGAATCACTTCTGCCTGAGGAAGGAAGTCAAGAGGAAAACATCCAGCCTGGTTAAGTAATTTACCCTCTAATCTGCTAGCAAAATTTAAAGAAGGATGAGCTCTGTGCAGCTTTTCAAAGAGAAGAACTGCTGAGCCTTAAGGGAGACTAAACCTCTGAGTATGAAATTTTTCAGGAGAGGTTTAAGATTAAGTTTTCGACTTCCCCTGTTATCTAGCTCACATCAGGAATAATAGAAGGCTCATTGTTGGCTGTTTTGAATCTGGTTTTGTAGGTCTCTTTACCATCTGTATAGAATGCTCTGATATTGCAGAGTTTTGAGGCCATGTTCTTTTTAATCACAAAGCTTCACAGACTTCTGATGAGCCCAAAGTCCTTGGCCAGTAATGTCACAAAGACTAATATCCAGTACAGATCAAATTAAAATCTTCCTGTAATGTTAACACAAAAAACCATGCCTGTATCGGAGTCTTCTACCCCAGTAGCTAAAGAAATACACCAAGATATTGGATGAAAAAATGATGGATTAAATTGCACAGTGTACTTTTTTCTTATTATTCTTTCTAAATCAAATTACTTTCAACAGTTTTTATTTAGTGTTCATAACATTGTGCTCAAAAAAGGGTATAAAATAGATGCATGAAATATGTAAATAAAACAAATTATTTTTATTTGTTTGGTTTGGTTTTGTGTTTTTGTTTTTTGTGTTTTTGTTGGGGTTTTTGTTGTTTTTGTTGTTGTTTTGGTTTTTTTCTGGGTTTTTTTTTTTGTTTTTTGTTTGCCTGAACTGGGATCCAGAAGGAGTGAAAAGACACTGCAGTCCTAGGTTTTGACAAAGTCAAGGAGTTTGTTGCAAAAATATTTTAAAAACTTTACCTCAGCCCTTTTTGCCAGTTTTTTTTTTACAATTAATAAGAATGGATATGAGAGTTGGACCAAAAATCTGGCTAATCTGATACTCTGACCACAACCAATCATGAGAACAGAGGAGCAGTGTGAGAGCAAGGAATGAAGCTGCCTCCAGCATGCTCACCTAACCTCCTGTTTGCTGAGACTTTCTGAATCAAGACCCTTCCTGGATTTTTAGTTCATTAAATTATTTTAGTTGCTTTATGGTTTGTGGATTACATAAATAGTTGCTCAACATGACTTGAAGAGAAAACCTTTACATTTTCCTACAGAATTTTCCTTCATTTAATTTTTAAAAAAAAATTGTTATCTGCAGTAGCAATATGATTCACTTGAGAGCCAAGAACAAAAAAGTCCACTGACAACTCTCTCAAAAGGACAAAGTTAAGCATGATTTTTCTCTAAAAAAAACTTCAACCAAATATGAAAGATTATCAGGATGGTAAATGACGTTATTCTACAGGCAAAATGACATTTACACTGCAAAATGAAATCTAGACTGCACTTGATAGAAATGTGGTTGGAAAGTTTCTGTCACTAGGTTTGTCTAGAAGGGCTATCCACAGACTTTTCACACCCTGTTTTCCCTTGGAAAAGTACCTCACAGTTCCAGCAACGTTACCTTTGGAGCATTTGGTCAAAGTTTCTATCTTTATATGCATTTGGTATTACAGAAGAACCATTCTAAAGCAACCTACAGGAGAACTAAATATAGGAGTTAGACGGGGGCAGGTGCTGCACTCCCACTGAATCAAGTGCTTCTGTCCCTGTACAAAGACAAGATGTACTTGATGTAAGGTTAGTTACTGGTTTGGGTTTCTTCTTCCCTATGGATTCCTTACATCATGCTCAGGTTGGGGCCTAGGCGTATTGGCATAGGAAAACCTACTCCCAGGTGAAAGTTGGGTCCTTTATCAAGTAATTGCTTGAGAAAATACTTTCTGAAATAAGGTAAAAGTGCTTAGGAATCCAGGTTTTCCTTCCAGGAGCTTCTGTTCCCAGAGCAGGGGTGAGATGCTGCTGGGTATTACCTCTCATATTCTACAGATTTTACCCTGAGTATTCATGTTTCTTTTTTCTTCAGCTCAGTGTAGAGCCCTATTTCAAGTGTGTTGTAATTTACACAGATTATTTTACTGCCACTATAAAGAGTTTATTATTTGTGAAAGAATAATGGCTAGGATGGAAAAAGTCCTTTTTATACATTGTGGTCATTGATTGTTACCTGTGCAAGTACTCATTTAGTTGTCAGCTTTGTCAGGCACCTCTGCTGCCTGTGTGCTAGCCTCTGTAGCAGAGTTCTGGCCCAGGGCTTTGCTACTTAACCAGCTCAGCAGCACCCCTGGACTGCTGCAGGTTTCTGACTCACAGCTGGATCACATCTGGGAAGTTCAAAGCAGGATCAGTTCACATCCACTGGGTAAGCAAACAAAAAGATGCATCTGACATAGTCAATGTATCTGCAATGGGGTTGAAATGAGAAGATTTGCCTTAAATTTGTGGATTAACAGCGTTATAGGAAAGGAGGGGATAGGATTTTTGGTGACTCAGGTCTTCTATAGAACACTAAACATGCTCTAACCTTCATGCCATGGTTTCATGTCAGTAATGTGGACTCTCCTTTATCTAGAAGGGGTGAGGGAATAAATTAATTGAGCATGCAAATACTGTTAAGTTTAACAAGCTTCTTTTGTTTCAGACTTTCTGACACTTAGTTAATTCCAAGTCAGGGTAATTATTCCAGCTCTGTAGGCAGAGTCTGGAAAAAATGCAAGAGGAGGTTTGGAAGGCTGTGTTCTCTCCCCTGTCTGAAAAAGCACAGAGAATAGGGTTGATCTCTGCTCCCATTAACTAATTGTATTTGTCTCCTACCCACTTGCTTTCCAGCATCAAATACATTGAAGTGACAGGTTTAAATGTGCCAAATTTTTTCCCCTCTGTAATATCAGCAATTCTTGTATGAAAATTGCTCCTTCCAAGCCTTCAGTCCGGAAAGTACTACAAGTAATGCCAGTAAACCAGAAAGATTGTAGCAGCTGGGCCCAGCTTAAAGAAAGAAAGATCCAACTTCTTGCAAACATGAGAGTAAAAAGATTTAATCTGGAGGGAATGTAATACATTGTGTCTTTGAGAACAAAAAATTCCATACAAGGAGCCATTATTTAATGTTTTTTTTGATATTCTGCAAAGCTTTTTTCCCTGATACTGGTATGCAGTATCTGCTTCTAAGAAGCTGATTAAGTAATGTATACTTGCAATCTAGATGAATAAAACCAGCCTGACATTCAATGGATATGGACTTTTATAGCAAAGAACCATCATTGTCAGCTGAAGGCATTTGAGAGGTTTGAAATGTGGAGCTGTCTTAATATTATTTGGGCAAATTTCACTTTGAATATTTCAAAAACCCTTTCAGATTTTCTTTTGTCAGATTAGGATTGGATATCTCCGAGTTAAATCTGGCACTTTATAAGAATTACCTGTATTTAGATGGGTAGAATTTAAGGTGTGAGCCTAGTTTAGCAAAATGAGAGCAAAGCCATTTCAAGCTACGAGGTTGTTAGTAATAAATTAGAGTGTTTGTGTGTCTTTGCAAAAAATAACTAAACTTCCCTCCTGTAGCCTACCATCTCAGTAAGAATGAGCTGGGAAAAAGTAAAAAAGAAAAGAACCGTTGAAATCTAGAGGATGTTTTTATACTGGCAAGCATATGGGAAGACTGGAAATGTGATGGGTTTCTGCATGTTTCCTGGAGGAAGGGGATTGAGGTAGATGCAGTGGGTACAATCTTCAGGCAGAATTAGGCTGTAGGTGTCAGTGATACCCTGGCAGTTCAAGGAGAAGTTGTCCCTCAGCAGTTTAGATGCATCCTGTGTGAGAAGTGGACGTGTACGGTGTGGGACACCCAGCACTCTCAGCTTTCACCGCCAGATGAGTGAGGTGACTATTTCGGTGTGTACATCTGTGCTGGGTTCAGACAGGGCTCCACAAATGCCCCCACGACTCTGATGTGGAGAGCCAATAGGGAAGGGCTGTGGCTGGTCCTGGGCGTGACAGAAGCTGCTTAATTTAGCACCATGAGAACATCCCTGTGTGAGAGGGATAAATATAGCTCCCAGTCTGAGAGGCATCGGGTTCGGAGCACAAAGAAGATGGAGGCAATAGAGACAAATTCTGTGGCTAGTGTGGAAATATTCTCTGCTGTCATTCCATTAACCTCAGGCACCAAGTCTACTTTCAGGGGGCACTGAGGGACTGTCACTCAGCAGTGTGTGCTTCTGCCAGGCAGCCCCGGAGAGGGGAGTGCTGCTGGGGGGACGTCCCTGCTCAGCTGCGTGCCCCCACACACTCTGTGCCTGGGAGGTGCTTCCACTGGCTGCAAAGAGCAGAACTGAGGGGTTTTGCTTTTTTCTTACATTGACACCTCTGTGTTCTGACCGAGCACTGCAGATTTCTATTATCCTCCCTTTTTGTACATTACTGACAATAAATTATTTCCTCCAGAGTTCTTTATTTGTGGGAGGGCAGATCCTGGGGTCTGCTTTTGCTTCTTTTGAGTGACCTGTTGACTTCTGTGGCTTGGAGTTAGGTCTCTGATGGAGTATTTGTTGCTAAACTTCCTACCAAGATGCTGAGAGGCAGACAAATCTTTGTCAGCTGTGTGACAGGACACCCTGATATTGCTGCTTTGCTGCTCACCTGTGCCAGGTAATGACCATTATCTGTCCCTGGGGCCTGGCAAAGTGTGATCTAGCATGCTTGCCAGAGGCAGTACAGCTCTCCAGCTTAGTTAATGTGTTGTGGAGTATTTTCTGTTTTAGCAGAAACATGTTCTCTCTCTGGGACTGTTCCCATAGCTCTGAAGTATTTGTTACAGTTGTTTTGTTAAAGATACAGTTGTTTCATGCAAAGTGGTCTGGCTTTGTTAGAGTCAAAATCCACACCTCTGCAGTTAAATACACATCAACCCAAAGCTGATTACAAAGACAACAAACCATCTTTAACATTTTTTCATGATGCTACATGTAGCTGCCATGCAAGCATGAAGGGATGCTACTTATTCCAGCCCTGATAAGCAAGCATTGAATTGCACTTTGAGAAGTTTACTTTTGGATGAAGGTTTTTTTGACTCTGTAAAGCTGGCGCGCTGTGTGATGTTGTGAAAATACCAGATGTTCACTGACTGGGGAAGGAAAAAATTGTTTTTAAGAGGGATTTACAAATACAATGAAACTTCTAAGACATGACAGCAGAGGGAGCCATTGAGATTTGGTTTTTTTGGTTCTGTTTTAAAGAAAGAAAAAAGGGACTTCAAGTTATAGAGCACTATTCTCCTTCATATTTAATTGAATTAAAATGCGGAGGGGGGCGGAGGTGTGTAAATCCATGCTAGGTCAATCCATTTTACTCTAGTGCCACTTGTGGCATTGAGATACTTCCAGATATTTGATTATATTAACGTTCTGGGCACCTTCCTAAGGAAATTCTGGGAACACAACTGTGCAGCAAGCAATAACCTCTGTGTGTCAAATGCATGAAGCCCCCACTGGAATGTGCAGTGTTATTTATTAAAATCTGTACTATAAATCCGTGTTATTTTTAATCTGTATTACTGGCCTCATTTTTTACATCTACTGATATTTCTTTCTACTGTTTTGTGTTTACTTCAGTCTGTATACTCCCATATGTTTGCACTGTGCCTGAAGCTGTGTGGGCTTTGCAAGAATGTTAACAGAAGCTCCCGAAAGCAAGCTGTGTGTGCACAAAATGTTTTTCTGTATTTTCAGAAATCTTGTTAACTGATAGGCTGTGGCAATTGGCTAAGAAGAAAACTGAGTTTAAATTCTTATTATTGACTCTCCCCATTACCTGCTGGAAACCACAACAAAGAAATGATAGCTCACAGTGCTAGATGGTGTCTGCACAAACACCGCAGCATGCGGTCCCTGAATCAAAGGGTGCAGCACAAACCGTGGTGTGGGAGGAGAAAGTGGAGGGGGGAAGATGAAGTGAGCTGCCTATAGCAGATCAATGCCAGTTTAGGTTTTACTCCAGGCATCACAGCTGCTTTAAGCCAGAGCTAGGTGATAGTGCTTGCATTAGTACCTGTATTTGCCATGCCTGCTGCATTTAGTTTGCACCAGGACTCTGCCATCATGCAATACTTTTTTCAACATTGTTACCTAATGTTGAATAGCAGCAGAAAGAGTTTCACATCACCCTTCATGATGATTCCCATGTAGTTACATTCTGAATGCACATCAGTCTTTATAAACAGCTATTCTTCTTCAGTTCACAGGTGTGGTGGGGTTTTTGTGTTTTGGAGGTTTCTATTTATTTGTTTTCGGTTTTTCTCAAGTGTCTTTGTTTTTGGTGGTTTGGGTTTTTTGTGGGTTTTTTTTTTTTTTTTTTTTAATGTAAACGTCTAAGATGCAATGCTGATTCAATGTTTGAACCCTCTTCATGTACTTGAGGAGTGATTTTAATTTCATTCTTAGCTTAGTATGTCGCCTTCACAATTGTTCTGGTGTACTTTCTAAAGCCACTGAATGCTTGCTGACAAACACAGATATTGGAATGGACCTTGGACCTCAACACACTTCTTTTTTTAAGCATTTGCCTATGTGGGCAGAGAGCAAGCAGATTTGTCCTCTTATCAAAGGATGCTGAAGGTTTTCAATTTTGGATGTTAAGAGTGGAAACTGCTATGTCATTTAAATGATGGTTCACAGCCATTTTTTCGGTGCACAAAATTCTTCATAGACCTGTAAGAGTTCAGTGCAGTTTACTTCTTTAATAATAATAGATTTAACTGGAGATTGTTAGGCATCTGTGGAAAGAGATTTAGCTGAAGACAAAAATGCACTTGGAACCAAAGACTGTGTTCTCAATTTAGCAAACCTAGGCTCTTATACAACTAACAAAAATGAGAGTCCAGAGACTAAATCCAAGTGGAAGTGAGAGTTCATGGACATGCTAGATGCCCTAACTGCAGCCAGGCAGCTTTATACTGTTTTCATGCTAGCACTGCTGCTTTTCTACTACCTGCAGAATTAAACCCATCATGAGCAGGGACAGATTTGCCAACCCCATCACTTCTGAGTAGTGGACACCTCCAGAAAATCAGATGGTTAACTAAGCTTCCAGAGGTTTTATACATAATGTGAGCTCTTTGAAGTGCATTGTGTATTCACTTCTGCTGCTTGCAACTTCCAGGTCCATGGGAAGGCTTTGTGGAGTAGATGAGAAGAGGCATGAGCTGCTGCACAGAGGTGGTGTGAAAAGAGGAGTTTTGGAGTCTTAATCCTTCTCTTCTTTCAGGTCTCTGGTCTTGGAGAGTCCCTACACCTGGGCTGCTCTTAGAGTGACCTGTGCCTCTGTGGTGCTGTGATGTTTTGCATCTGCATCAGGTCCTGCTCATACCAGTTTCTGAGGTGCATTCAACTAATTATCTCTTCCCTTAAGAGGTTAAATTCTTTGATAGCTGCTAATTGAGCTAAAGATCCACGAGAAGGGAAGAAATTCATACTTGCCAACAGGATTCCAATCACCTGAGACATGTGTTGTTTGGTACGATCCGGCAATGTTTCTGTACTCACAAAAAAATGACTGCTTTCTTTAGACAGAAATAATAGAAATGCTTCTTATTTTGATGGGTCTATTAGCCCTTGGTCTAAACAACAAAATGATGCTTCCAGGAAAAAAATCTTATACATAGTTAGAGCCCTGTAAAGAAAACACAAACAATTAAAAGCAAGATTCTCAGCATTTATACAATCTTAGGTTACTGTAAGTATGGCACTGACTTAAAAATAAAAGCACAGTCTTACATTTTCCCTGAACTTGGGTATTTCCTCTGAAATTGAAACATCAGAATATGGACTTATTCTTGCTTTTGAATTAAAAAAAAATTAATTAACAATCAATAGCTTGTGATTTAGGCTTATCAAAATTTAGAGTAAAGCAGAATGAGTATTCCCTTCATTTTTCAAATTTAATAATTACTACAGCTGTAACTTGATGAGATTTTGCATTGGAAAGCAAAGAAGGAACAGTAAGCTCCTGTCCTTTTAAAGACTGATCCTTCTGAAATCTAATAGCAACAATTTATCTGCCTTAGCAGATTTTTCCACTGTTGTTCATTCAAAAGGATGTGCAAAAGTGTGGGGACAATAGATTTTACGTTTAAAAAATAATATTTTTTTAACTGCACCCTAAGGCACTGTTTGAATCAAAATTTAAAGTTTGCATTATGTATAGTAATTACATTTCAAATTCTGTTATACCAGCTAAGTCTTCAATTGAGATTATAAATGTGTTACTTCAATGTATAATGCCTGAATTAAAGTATCTTTTCAGAAGTGTATTTTATTTTTTCAGAAGGTCATTGAGACATTTTATGAGTCATTACAGATATTCCTAATCTCATTAATGTTTTTATTTTGAAATTTTTCTAATATTAATAAAGTGAGGTTTGCAAAAGAAAAACTCTTTTTTTCCTTTAATCATATATTGTACGTATATGGCATGAGAGAGTGTTTTAAACTAAAACAACCTTCATACAATCCTTATGGTTTGTTTTTCACTCTTGCTCCCACTCACGCATTCAAATTATCCATTTATTTCATGTATTTCTGGAAGGTGGGCCATGTTTGTGTCTTCCAAGAAAAATTATGACCATCATTCTTTGTTTATGGATCCTTACAGTTGATTTGAAACAGGTCCTGAGTTTAAAATGCAGATATCTATTAATTTGGTGTTATAGGAACTTACAATTAATTTAAGCATGTAAGTTAAAAAAGAAGAAAAAAATTAGGAGAAAAGAAGGCCAAGGACATTGGATTGCTGTTTTTAAAAACATTTGGATTAATATAAGAGTTTCCAGTATGCAGTATATTAACCTCTCTTTCACTTCAGTTTTGTTTCTATCATTCTTTCTTTTCTGCAATCCCATAATGACATTCTTAATGCCAAGACACAGCATCAAATGAAAGCAGGGGCGCCCTGCATGTCTGTCCACTGTAATTACTTTCTTAAGAGATTTTTTTGTTTAGTGATGGGTTGACATTCTGAAGTTCCAGCTGTCATGCAGTAATGCACATGACAAGGAGGCATTATATGCTATAGCATCCTTCAGCTTCCCATATGCACTTGTCCCTCCTGATTGCCATTCACATGTCTGGAGAGTTCTCAGTTACAGGTGCTGAAATGATGAAGTAGATGCAGAAACTCTGTCACTTCTGGCAAATGTAATGTCTGACCTTCATAGCTGTACTCTGCCATTGGGGACCAGAGATAAACAACTCATCCTCTTGGCACTTTTGTTCCTGTGGGCAGATGTGCACTCATGAGATCATCAGGTTGAAGTCACTCTATGAACTGTGACAACTTAACTGCTCATTGGGAAAGCTTTAAAAAGAAACAACAAACCAAACAAACAGCTGAGTGAACCAGCTTGTGGCTGTACTTGTGACAATATTGTTTGGTGTCACACACAGAAGTACCAGCCCACTCCACAGAATGGTCCCTCATGGAAGTACACACCTCTGTGTGCGAACAGTGGTCACTTGTTGTGGATATTGAGCTGTGGCTGGCTGTTAGGTGTCTGAAATAGATCTTCAGGCCTGAAACAGAATGTTCCTCTGGTGACTGGAGACCTGTGCTGCTCCTCAGGAAGGCTGAGAGCTCCCCTGTGCCAGTGATATCAAAGGTTACTATGCCTGCAACTACATTTCTCAGAGGTTATTACTCAGGCCATGTAATTTTTTATCTCCTACAACTTTAGTGCTATTAAGAGAGACTGATTGTTACTTCAGGGGCAGTTGAATGAAGTTTGGATCTATTCATTCTCCCAGAGTCTGCTGTTAGTTCATTACAGAAATATTTGCTTGTAACCAAGTTTGTATTAATTTGATTCATTCTGGCTTCAAAAAAATATGATTTTTTTTTCAACTGGATAATTTATAGATATAAAACAAAGTATAAGAATGAAGTTCTCAGTTAAATGGCTTTCAGTTGGCCAAGCACAATATGATACTATCTACCTTCAGAGATCTGTTTTCTTCCTCTGATTAACAATAAACAATAGATCTAAACTAGTAACTCCTGAGGAGTTTATAATGCATTTCATATTAATTATTACTGTTATACTTGTTGTGAGAGATATCTCATATTATTTGCTTGAAAAGGGATATGGTTAACATGCAATTAGGATGGCTTCTTCCTGAATAGTTGATGTAGGGACCTTTTACTGGTATAGTAAAACAATAATTTCCAAAAAGTGGGATAGAAGATCTCCTCTAGTAAATTGTATCATGTTAGATATCAGGTTATAGGGTTCAATGGACAGAGTAGGAGTTGACATGTCATGAGATGCTGTTTTTACATTAGATTTGACATTATTACTTCAGTGATTTAGGCCTTAGATAAGCTCCTTCCTGAATGGGAATGGCAGCACCTCACAGTTCGGGGAGTGAGCTGATCCTTCTGAATGAAAGATGTTAGAAATAAATAATCAACCAATAATCCATACTTGTTCTGATGCTGATAAGGGGTTAAAGAATAATATATTTAATGTAGATAAGCCTTTTCAGTGTTTATTACACTTTTGAGTCTTGTTTATCTATTAGGTATAGAGCTTGGGAGCCTGTGCGGGCAGCAAGCGAGATGCTGCTCTCCATTACACCCAAAAAAGTCCCTCAAAGTTTTAAGAAGAAAAAAAAAACTGCACAGAAGAGGAGGAAAAAAATATAATGTAATATTTTCAAGTTTATATATTTTGAGCATGGAAGGTAATTTCTGAGTTCCAAGGCATGTTATTTATCACATTCAAATTGGAGCTTAGGGGAACTTCAAAAGATACACTGCTTAAAATATTATTCAACAGAAAGTGTAATAAAAAAAATTTAAAGATTAAAAGTTAGTCACAAATAATCAGAAAAACAAGACTTTCCCCCAAAGCATATCTTTAAATATTAACTAGACTCACTTTTGATCTTCATGCTTAATTCAAATTCAGGATAGATTCAAGACCCAAACTGAAAGAAAGTGCTGATATTTTTCTCCCCTCGTTTGCAAGATCTCTGCTCAATGCCATATTGCTTGTTTACTTCTCTATGATGTTTCATTTATCTAGTTATGTTCTATAACACACATGCTTTAATATTTTATAATGGAAGCTGGGCTCCTGGGTAAAGAGAAGGCTTCATCTCTTGAGATTGCCTAGATCATAGGCCAAAAAAAGAAAACCATGCTTTTCTCTGACTTGAATATGAATTAATACCTCGGATTTCATTTTGGCATCAACTACCCACTCTACATGCTATATGCTCTGTTTCCCTTGCTCACTCTCTGACTGTAGATCTATCAGTGTTCATTTCAGCTCTTAGATTTTCTACTTCCCTCTTCATTTTAACTTCTCTAAAATCACTGGAAATCCTACCTGCTGTCATTTTATTTTCTAGTTCTGTTCTAGTTTCCATGTCCTGCTTCTTTCCTTTGTATTCCCTGCAAGCCACTCCCATGATCTGATAATTTCTTTCTAGTTCCTAGCAGGGATAATACTGACTTTGACTACATACCCTTTGGAAATCCAGAGTAGTTTCAGCTTTTATTCCTCTGTCCCTTTTTATATATATATATTTTTAATTTTTTTTCAGAGACTGGTGTTATTTCTATACTTGTTAACTTACTCTCTGTTGTCAAACTGCTTTCTCCTCCCCAGTCACCCACCTCTGGGATATCTCTTCAAGAATGGCCAACCATTAATTGAAGTCCCTAAAGGGTCTGTATTTTTAATCTTTGCCTTTTTATAAATACAAAATTTTTCCTTTATTCATTCACATATCTATATAAAGATATGAGCAATATATTAAAAGAAGATAAACCATCCTTTCTGTTATATATCCACTGTTCCACAATCCATTTTTATCTTCAAGACAACTCTGCTTTCTTACTTCCTTCAGACCTATAAAGGGCACTATATTTTTGGGTATTGTCTTTGCCTCTCCTGCATGTTACAGCCAATTGTTGCAATTTTTTCCTCTTATTTCCAATCCAATTGCATACATAACTTTTTCTAATTTGTTATGTTGCGTGTTATAACATCTATTTTGGCATGGGAATTGCTGCCTTATTTTATTTGAATGTGCAGGACAGTTCCAACTTTGTCAAGATTTTTTTCTTCCCCTAGGCCATTGCTAAGACTTTATCACTTCTTTAGCACATTGCACACAAACTCCATTTCACAGCTCCTTCCCAGCCTACCCATCACTTCTTCCACTGTGACTGTACCAATTTCTTCCTCTGAAGTAACCTAAGGTGCTGATCTCTTTCTATTTTTTAATTTAATTTTTTTAAAAAGACCATCATTCTCTTTTCATAGTGCCATCTTATCTCTGTACTCTCCTTCAAAATCTTTATTTTTCTGCCTTTTTACGGTTAGGTGATGTGACCAGAAATGCTGATGCTGACCAGAGGCAGGCAGCTCAAGTCTTTGTCCTACCCCCACCACAAGGTGAGGTTCAGCTGGCTTTATACTGCTGCCTGCTTTGAAGGAGTCATCCATGCCTGGTGCCCATGGCAAGGAATGAGGGCAACTTGCTGCATTCTGTGGTGTGAATCACACAGGCAGCTCAGAGCTCAGAGAAACTTCTTGCTATTGCTGCCAGGATTATTCCCTGGGCAACTGATGGATGAGATCCTCCATTTGTGATTTCTTCCTCTGTTATCTTGGAAACTTTGTAGGTTCCTATATTGTCCTACTGCTAAAAGGAGCCTGCTCCATAACCTAGATCTTGTTGCAGCATAAATAATATAGATGTGGCAATTTACAAATTAAAGCTTATAGAGTTATAGTTTACAGATTAATGATTGCAGAACAAAGATTTGTTTGTTTTTTTTGCTTGTTTCCTTAGGTGCAATCTTGTTCTATTGAAAAATTCTGAAGACTCATTAAATCACAAAATCTACATTCTTTCCTAAAAGAGCATCACTGCATTGGCAGCAAATTGTTTGCTATTATTGCTACTATTATTACTTTGTTCTATCTACAAAGTTTAATTTTTAATCCAAAATTTTTAAAAATTTTAACCAGTTCTACACGTGTGAAAGATGCTCTGCTTTTGGGGCTGATGCCCGAGTTTTCAGAACTGAATGTTTTTCCTTCTCATCAGTTAATCCCAAATAAATGCACAGGAAAACTCACTGCTGGTGCTCCAATCTGTATTGATCAGCTGACCCACCCTTTGGCCAGGGAAAATGAAAAAGCAGTCACACTGTCAATTTTTTTGTGTAAACAGTGTAGAACTTTGGCACTCAAAGAGGTGCAACGAAGGTTTGTTGAGGTGTCTGTGCACGTGTTGCTGGGCCTGTCACCAAAGGCTCCTCTGGATTTCATGGAAAACCTAAACTGACTACTGAGAGGAAGAAAATGATGTGGAGTACTGACTTAGCACTACACTTTTATTTTTGTTTCTTCTTTTGATTGCATAGATTAACTGTCAAAAAAAAAAAAAAAAAAGGAAAGTATTATCCAGCAGGTCAGTGCTTTGTAAATGTCACTTACAGGTTCCCACCAGAGTCAATGGAAGCTTTTGCATTGTCTTTAATGAAGGAACATTTAGGACTTGATTTTTCTTGTGGAAAGGCAAATCCTTCCTAAAAGGGAGCAGTAACATCAATCAGTGCTGCTGATGCTGCTGATGGAAGTGCTGTGCTTTCCAAGCTTGTGGTGTCTCCAGGGGAACACAGGTGCCTTGCTGCAGCTCTGGATCTTGCACATGCCTTGCTTCCAGCCTTAACACTTCACGGTTAAAAGTACTGCTGATGTTTTACGTATATTTTTCAGAATGAAATGTGTGCCTTGCTGTTTGCCGGCAGGTGGCAGCGGTGTAGGAGTGTTAGGCATGACCAGCAAAAAACCCAAGGGCTTTGCTATGGCTGTTTCCAGGCTGCTGTGCACTCAGTTTCTTCCAGCTGCGAGGGGATTATGAGCATATTTCTCCTTGGTCTGCATAAGTTGATTCATCTCATCAGCACTTTCTGATCAATTGATACATTTTTGAAAGCGTGTTTCTGGCAATTGCTTTCTAGTGTGTGAAATGATACCATCTTGGGTATTGATGAAAATGGATGCTAATGAAATAAACAGAAGCGCTTTTTACATGGCCCTTCCCTAGTGACACAGGAGCATTGGGCATTCAAGCGTTTTTTCCTCTTACAAACGGCCAGGTGAACATTTTCTGATTTGTATATTTGTCTTTAAAAAAAATCTGTTTGCATCACAGTGCAGGATTTGAAATCGACTTGTTCTGGTAACTTTTGATTTCTAAGGAAGTGTCGCTCTGCATTTATCAGCAGTGGCTTGATTGGAGTGGGACAGAACGAGCTGTTAACCCCTTGTTTGCAAGAGTGGATGTGGGTCTTGCTTCCACCTGCAATTCTGACTCCAGAGCCTTCTCCTGCTCCGGTCAGGCTGGAGGGGTGTGTGTTGGCACAGTGTGCTCTGCTGATGAGTCATGCCCTCCAATGCACAGAGGCAGAGGTAAGTGTGTGTTTTGGTCTCACACTGAACCCCCCCTGCTCTCTAAATCTGCACTCTACAAGTTTACTGATTTTTGTATGTTAATTAAAAATGATTCAAATGCATTCAGTGCAAGGCCAGCATTGTTTTAATTTTGCAAGTGCCAGGCATCCCCCTACCTTTTTTTGTGCTCGAGCCTTTTCAGGATTCAGAATATTGACTGTTTTTCTGCTTATGTCCCTGACAGTGGGTGAGATGCAAGACTGACAGAATAGGGTGCCTCACAGATTTGGCTGCTGCCTCTGCTCTTCTTTTTACTGAAGAGCTGGAGTCTGATATCATGGTGACTCTCTTTTATGTAACATTTCATAAGTGAACCAGGCATTTCTCAAAAGCTCCTGAAGGCTGCAGCTGAACTTCACTATACCTGATCAGGACCTGGTTTTCCATGGGTGGAGGAAAGAGGGAGGTTGCTGTCTCCAGTCGTGGCCAGGGTCATAAGAACATCAAAACAACTCCCAGAGGCTCTTGCGGTTTTGTTGTGTAAAGAGGTTTGGAACTATTGGTCTCTAGACTTTTAGTGCAGGCTTTTTGGTCAGATGATTGAATTTAGGTGATACAGATCTCTACCACAGCTAGGATTTTGAGTGAGGAAAATTAACTTCTGTAGCTGTTTCTCATAGTCCTAAAACTTAGAAAAAGCAAAAAACAAAACTAAAAAAACCCAACCAACCAACAAGCCAACCAAAAAAACCCAAAAACAAAAACCCAAGACCAAACCAAAACAAATAAAAACCAAAACCAAAACAAAACCCCCCAACTAATTTGAGAAGGAATTTGAGGGTCAAACAGTTGTATAAGTAATTGAATGAAGTGGGATGTCTAGCACAGAATTTTTGGTCTGGAGGGAAATATGAAAACAGAGGAGAAACTGCTAACTGTAGATCAAGCATGTATTTCTCTGTAAAAAACCTTAGCCTGAACCATTTTCTGACTGAATTGTAGCATTTAAATATAATTTGCTTTTTTAGTATAATTAAATATGAAACAAAATGCTTCTGAGAGACTCCATATTAGCAATGACAGCCCTAATTTTATTTAAGTTTTCTGTATTTTCCTTATTCCCTGGGTTGGCTTCTCATGGCAGTACAAATCATGTACTGCTATGTGGCCACAAGATCTAAGCAAAGGGCAACCCACAGAGGGAATGTTGAATCACTGGTCCTACTGCTTGCTGGCATCTGAAATTTAAGAATCTATGGTTGCTTCTGTTATTTTTAAACTTCTATCATGTTTAGACAGGCAGTGCTAAGTATCAGCTGACACAAAAATTGCTTTGGTCTTAAATTCAGAATCTTTTTCAGGAAAGGATGTTTTCATTACAATCTTAGTCATTTACCTGAGGAGCAAGAGGGACCAGGAAGTCTATTTCAACTATCACTTATCAGCTAAAGCCAAACATGTAATTGTTTATGTATTGTGAATTTTATATAGGTCACTGACCTTTCTGGAATATGCAATAATTAGGATTTTCTACTTATTTTGGTGTTTCATCCAGGAGGCATGTGGAGCAATTCTTTCTTCTAGTTGGTAGCCTGCAGGACATTTTGTGCTTCAAAATAATTGAAAATAGGTAGAAAAATGAGGAGTTGTCAAAGATTAAATTAGTTCTTAAAGGAAAAAAATTAATTCTCAAATACAAGTCGTGATTTGGTGGTTGTTTGCAAGTGCTGAGCACACTGGGGTTCTGGGATGGGGATACAGAATATTACTGCAATACAAATAAAGTCTGCTTGCACTTTAATGATTTAACATAGTGCTCACAGGGCCAGTAAGCTGCATCAGTCAATGCTTTCTGTAAATACCAAAAACTGTTCATGTGAATAATCAACATGCTTATGTAGTTCCAATATTGTTTGCTTTGTACTATACCTTTTAATTTTTGATGATGCTGCCATTTTGAGAGAGGATTTATGTAGTGTATTACAGAGGAGGAGTGTTGTACTTAAGATGAAAATAGGCTCACGGTACCCAAAAACGAAATAAGAATTTGAGCATCATTTCTCTGTTCTCCATTAAAACCTACCCATGAATAAAAAAGGAGGTACAAGTTTTCCCATGGAAGAATATGTGTGTCTCACAAATATGCAAGCATGCTTAGTCCCCACTCCCATGAAGGGAATAGGAGTGGGGAGGCAGGTAGGGATTGTACTTTTTCTGTCTTCTTGGATGGAAATGATACTGAAAGTTCAAATCCAAAGGAAAATAGCTAACAGGTGTAGAAAATTGGGACAGTGGAGGGAAGAGTAATAACCTTTGTGACTGGTTTTGTGATTATTTCATCTCTGTCTGTGAGGAGCAGTGAGGTCTTGCACTTTCCAGATCAGTGAGGGAGGCGGGGGAGGCTGATGCTGTGTGACTAGAGGAGCTGGGACAGGGAAGCAGGCAGGGGGAAAAATCTTGGTTGTTGTTGGAAGCATTAGCAAGCAGACTGTAAAAAGCATAGTGAAAAGAAATGGGTGACATTGCAAATAAAGGCAGATGTGCTTGCAATGGAATGCAAATATTTAATGGACAAGAAGAGCCTTCACACCATCAGCACAGGGGTCACACTCTCCAGGATCCCACAGGGACAGGGCAACGTTCAGGCACCATCAGAAAGAGCTGCCAATTTCCTTTCTTGGTGTTGGGCAAAGTACCTGCAGACACCTGTTGGAATTTTGTTCTTGCCATGATGTTACAGCTGCATGAGATATGCTCAGGGTTTGTGAAGGAGAGGGGACTTAAGCAGACAGGTAATGTTGCTATGTACTTTGTGTCCTCTTGATGGAAACCAGATTTTCATGAACCCAGTGATGTTTGGGAATGCAATAAACTCTACTAGAATATAATTTTTATGATTAACAGAAATGCCATAACATTTCAAGGTACTAGCTTCTGTGGACAGATTTAAGTGATTGAAAAATCTTTGAGGAGAACAGATGTGAACACTGGAACCAAATGAGAGCATGTATTTCTCACATCTGTCCCTTTAATTTTCTGCATTTTTGTGACTCTGTCTGGAATTGTGGGATGCTATATCTGTCATATGCCAACAGATGGCAACATTATAAGTCCATTTTTAAAGATAGAAATAACCAACCTCTCAGCTGCTCCAAATTTAGTCAGAAAAAAAAGTAAAAATTAATTGCATCTTTCTATGGATGTAAAATAATTTCGCGTGCCAGTTAAAACCCCATCAAACTACACCAGAAAATCCTCACCAAACCCCCTCCCCCCAATCACAAGTACAGTTCCTTATTTTTTAATAATTCTTCCAACACCTCTTGTATTTCATTCTTTTGCATACTTTATATTAAATTTAATATTCAGTGTTG